GATGAAGTTGTTTTAAAAGAGATTGTACAAGAAGAATGCTTAAGAGAACAATTTGAAGACCAAATGAAAGAAGCCATGAAACCAGTAGAAAGCAAAGTTGTTTCTCCCAAGCCAACACAAAGCACAAACAGCCTGAAAAAATTTTTGTCTCTAAGCAAATGTTGTCAGCCCACATCCAGTGCAAATACTGAAAGTATTGAAGCAACTTCAAATCATATAATAGGACCTAAAGAGCAAAGAGTTAAAAGAGCTATTGCTGAGCTTGACATTGCCACGTGCTCAACAACCATGACTGAAACAGGCTCTTGGGAGAAAAAGCCACAGAGTAAGGTGAATAAGAATCATAGCGGTCAGTGACAGATATCTATGGAAAGAGTAGAGATCTTCAGAAAATCTGTCCAAGAATGTATCTTAATTAGCCAGAAAAGAATATTAAAATGGTTCCAGGCTCCTCCTAAGCCTGGTAATATTTATAGTATAAAAGAAATTATTAATAGATGAAGCCATGAAACTCAATGGAGGGAAAGCAGATAATGAAAAGAGACCTAGATTAGTTAGAAGCCCAAGGAGAACATAAAATAGAAACCATTGAAAAAAAAATGCAAGCTAATTATTTAAATCTATTATTTAACAAATTTCAGTTCCTTTGTATTTTGGCTGGTAAATATCCATTGAACATTTTGTGTAAAGAAAACTTATACAGGTAGGATAGGACTAGAGAGTGGGTTAATGTAGGAGGAAGTAAAAAAAGATTCATACAAATTTAGATTGTCTGGGTCTGAATCCTGACTCTCACTTAATAGCTATGTGTCCTTTCGGCAAGCTACATAGCCAACTTTTTTCTTAAAAGTTACTTAGCCAACATGCCCAAAATTAACAGGCTAATCAAAATATTTGAAATATCACCCTTACTATCAGCCCATAAGCTCCACTATCATCATGGGGTGTAGCTCTTGTCCCTAGTATCATGCCCCTCAAATGATGGTCTGGATTTCAGTGATCTTTGGGGTTTGGTCCTTTCCAAAAACTGGTACCAAAACATGTTTTTGGAAAGTGTATATGATTTAGGATTTCCTGATGAGACAATTCTATTAATTATCCAGTTGAAATGATTCTTGGGTATATACAAAAGCTGAGGTGAACAAGAGAAAAAGAACAGAGATACAACTCTGTTCAATTCAGAAGCTTAACAGGTAAATTATCTTAATGCAAATTCTGACCTATTTGTTGGGAAGCTATGTGTAATTTCATGACCAGATGCAGTCTTCAGAATAGTTTTCTTGAACCTCATAGTCAGAAATGCTGGCTTTATAGTTAAAGAAATGTTATAGCATAACATTTACAAAACTCAAAATGGAGGGGCACCTGGGTGGCTCAGTGGGTTAAGCAGCTGTTTTCAACTCAGGTCATGATCTCAGAGTCCTGGAATCAAGCCCCATGTTGGGCTGTCGGATCAGCAGGGAGCCTGATTCTCCCTCCCTCTCTCTGCCCCTCCATCTGCTTGTGCTCTCTCTCTCTCCCAAATAAATAAATAAAATCTGAAAAAAAAAAAAAAAAACTCAAAATGGATTATATGAACAATAATCCCAATAATAGTAGCTTTTTTGAGATCTGAAGAAATACCACAATAAAGATATTCTCATAAAAAAATATGGCCATGAAATCACACATGACTTCCCAACAAATAAAGTACATGTTAAGTTGGTTGACTTCAAAAACTTCTGAATTGACCAGAGTTATGTCTGTTCTTTTCTTTTTGAACTCAGTAGGATAGGATTTAAAATATTTGTAAAGTGCAGAAACTGAAAGCTATATTCTTTAAATACTGCTTAAATTTATATTTAAAATCTATTCAAACTCCAATATTATAATGAGATCATCAGCACTGAGCCATTTCCAAAAAACAAAACAAAAAAATGTATTGGAAAGAGACCTTTTAATTAGAATTAAGGAGTTCATTCATCTTTTAAGTAATCTTTAGAATTTTTTTTTCATTATAGTGTAGATTAGAGTGCAAAATATGCCAATAAGGTGAGAAAGTACATGTCAAACATGTAACACATGTTTTTCACTTTTCCAGAAAGAAAAATGGCATCTTAGTACTGAACCAACACATTACTTCATACATAGAATCATGAGTTCATCTTCATACAACCAAGAAGATCTGATTTCATATGCCAGGTATGTGAAATTAAAGCAGTATAAAAATAGAAATCTGAGATGAAAATAATACTTATGGGAAGAATGGGGTCCCTGGTAAAACTATGGCTGGGCAAATATTCAGCCTTGGACTTTCCCCCACCACTTCTTATTCTTCCCTCCTATACCTTCCCACTGTGGAGACTTCCTGAGGCCTTCCCATTTCTACCCAATCCCTGATTTCTAGTTACCTGGTTTCTACATCTTTTCTAGTATAGCAGTGTCTTGGATCAAGAATTTGCTAGTGGATTTTGGTTTGGGTTTTGGGTTTTTAACCTGGGAGATAGGCACAATGATATCTGCACTATCAGCCCAAAGGATTCCTAATCAACTGTCTTCAGTAGCGAAATGTTCTAGTGTATATAACTGCCTGTAAGAAGAATTCAAAGATGAAAGGGGGCATTGTAAGGTAGAGCATTCAGAGATGAGGTCTGGAAAACAATGGAGCTTGATATGGGCCTCTAAGTATAAAAAGAGCATTTATATGAGAAGATAATTCAGGTTTGGACAACTATAGGAGCAAAGTCTGAAGTGTGTGGAATTACAGAGGACAGAGAGAGTAAAGTATACTGTAGACGTGAAATCTAATACTTATATCTAGAAGAGTTAAAACTTGTTTAAAATTGTTCTTAAGTTTATGAATATTCTTATATTCTTATATTCATAACCCAGAAGAGGTAACATTTTCATTTTATAGGAGAAAGAATGGGTATAAGGAGGAAAATCTGCCTGGTTACATTTCTTTCCACACAGCATGAAGGAATTGTTTCTTTTGACACTGACACTGACATTATTTTGGGGACACCCATCACTGCCTCTCTTTTCTGCATAATGGTTATTTTAAAATACATTATTGATGCAAGCACCTCCCTATCAATGATGAAGACAGAGGGCATAGATAACATGAAAAAAAAATAGAGCAAGATGGCAGACCAGAAAACTATAGGCCCTTGTTTCCTCAGGAAAACAAACAAACAAACAAACAAAAAAGAAAACTACAGACTGATAAAATAACTTTATATGAGCTCTGAAAAACAGTCAAATATTTGCAATAATCAGGTGAATGTGTAATCAAGGTAAAACCACATTCACAATGGTAGGAAATTCCAGTTTTTTCTTGCCTTTGAACAATCCCCTCTGCAACATGACAAGACACAGTTGGAAAGAAATGGCCCAATTCCCAGTTCCCTCCTTTGGGATTGAAAAAGCAGATTGGAACTTGTTTGCATTGTTCTGCTAACTGTGTGCTGCCTGAGGGAATTTTTCTGTCTCACCTAAATAGATTGAGACAGTGGCATAGTTTGGAACTATGCCTGGAAATCACAGAAGGCAACTGATGGGTGCCACAGTGCATGAAAATCCCAGAGGACTACAAGATGCACCTGAGAGCAAGAGATTACTGGCAAAAGAATACAATGAATACTGAAGGTCCTGAAAATAAGCATGATGGGAAGCATTCTTGGGAAATAAAACATTTAAAAGAAGATCTGACAAAAGGGAGTCCTTGAAGTTCAGCTGGGAAGATGGCAGAAGGAGGACCCTAAGCTCACTTTGTCCCCTGGATACAACTAGATAACATCCATGCCCATGTAAATAACCCAGGACATAACTTGACGACCGGTACAAGAAGCTCCACAACTAAAGGCAAAGAAGAGGGCACATCAAAAAAGGTAGGAAGGGTAAAAACACAGTCTGGGAGCAAAATGGACAATGACCTTCCACTGTAGGGGGGTAGCTAGTGGCATAGAGAAGGGCAGAAAACAGACTTTTCACACTGGGAAGCTCACAAATAAGGAGGATAAATCTCCATAATATTTGTCTTTGAAAGTGAGAGGGGCTGAATTTCATGAGTTCTTAAAACCAGCAGGACTTGCTATTTTAAAAATCAGCAGGCTTGGCTGTGGTAGAGCCCAGAGGTGTTAGGAAGTGGGGTCCCTGCCCTTAAAGAGACAGCATGACAAATAGCCCATGCAGATACCGGATAGAACTAGCAGTTGAAAAACGCAGGGGACAGACAGGAGGGAGAGTGATCTGCTCATGTCAGAGTGCAGGCCAGAGAGACAGGGATCATGGGGAGGTCCATCAAGGAACAAAGGAGCTGACAGGTGCCATTCCCCTCCCCTGCTCCCCAGCATAAACAATGGCCACCTGTGGGACCCAGGGCAGCACCAACACTCCTTACCTAACTTTTTTGGATCAAGTCCCACTCATCTCCACCCTCCCCCCACACACACACACTTTAGCAGATCCACCGGTCTCAGTAATGCTCACCTCAGTCCTGGTACTGCAGGCCCGTCCCCCAGAAGACCAGTTCAAACCCTGTCAATACCACATCACCTGACCCCTGAGTACTTTGCAGGACCTCAGTTCCAGCAGCAGTGGGGGCAGATCTCATTTTGCAAGCAGACCCCTGCACACCTTGCTGTCCACAATAGGAAAAGACAGGCTCTGCAAACAATTGGACTAAAGAAAAAAGAGACCAAGACTCAACAGCAGAGCATACACAACACACATAAGAGATACTCCCTGAAGTGCCAGGCCCTGGGGAACAGAAAATACTGTGCTGCAGGGCACCATAAGACATCTTCTGCATAAGTCTGTTATTGTTAAGAGCAAGTGAGTAGCTAACTCCTAACACATAGAAACAGACACAGAAAGTCACACAAAATGAGGCAACAGATAAACATTTCCCAAATGAAACAATAGGACCAAACCATAGCAAGAGACCAAAGTAAAATGAAAACAAATAATATGCCTGATAGAGAATTGAAAGTAATGGTCATAAAGATACTCACTGGACTGCAGAAAACTGTGGGGGGTGGGAGCACCGGGGTGGCTCATTCATTTGGGCATTTGACTCTTGATTTCAGCTCAGGCTGATCTCAGGGTCATGAGACCAAGCTCTGTGTCAGGCTCCATGCTCAGTGTGGAATCTGCTTAAGGTACTTTCTCTCCCTCTGCTCACCCCCTTCTCTTGCTCTCTCTTCAAAAAAAAAAAAAAAGAAAAAAAAGGGAGGACATCAGTGAGATCTTGAATACAGAGATAAAAAAGAACCAATCAGAGATCAAGAACACAATAAATTAAGTTAAAAATACACTTGATGGGATAAATAGCAGGCTAGATGAGGCAGAGGAACAAATTAATGACCTAGAAGACAGAGTAATGGTAAGTAATTAAGCTGACAAAAAGAGAGGAAAAAATATGCAAATTGAGAATAGTCTGAGGGAACACAGTGACTCCATCAAGTGTAATAACATCCACATTATAGGGATCTCAGAAGAAGAAGAGAGAGATAAGGGAGCAGAAAATTTATTTGAAGAAATGATAGCTGAAAACTTCCCTAATTTGGGGAAAGAAACAGATATCCAGATCCAAGAGTCACAGAGATCCCCTCAAAAATACAACCCAAGGAGGTCCACACCAAGACACACACCAATTAAAATGCCAAAAGTTGTGATAAAATATTTTAAAAGCAGGAATAGAAAAGAAGACAGTTACATACAAGGGGAACCCTCCCCCCCACCCCCGCAATAAGGCTATCAGTGGATTTTTCAGCAGAAACTTGCAAGCCAGAAGAAAATGGCATGATATACTCAAAATGCTGAAAGGGAAACATTCGCAGCCAAGAATACTCTATCCAGCAAGGCTATCATTCAGAACTGAAGGAGAGAAAAAGAGTTTCTCAGACAAACAAAAACTAAAGGAAGTCATGACTTCTAAACCAGCCCTATTAAAAAGGACTCTTTGAGTAGAAAGGAAGACCATAAATGAGAGTAGGAGAAGTAAAAAACACAAAAGCAGTAATAATAAATATTTCTGTAACAATCAGTCAAGGGATTCATAAAAAAAAAAAGTATGTAAAATATAACACCATATACCTAAAACATGGGAGAGAGAAGAGTAAAAAATGGATTTAAACTTAAGAAACCATCAACTTAGGGGGTGTCTGGGTGGCTCAGTCATTAAGCGTCTGCCTTCGGCTCAGGTCATGATCCCAGAGTCCTGGGATCGAGCCCCTCATCGGGCTCCCTGCTCCACGGGAAGCCTGCTTCTCCCTCTCCCCCTCCCCCTGCTTGTGTTCCCTCTCTCGTGTGTCTCTCTCTCTCTCAAATAAATAAAATCTTAAAAAAAAAAAAAAGAAACCATCAACTTAGTATACACTGCTCTATACATAAGATGTTATATGCAAACCTAATGGTAACCATAAATCAAAAACCAGTAATAGATAGGAAAAGAAGAAAGAGAAAGGAATCCAAGTATATCACTAACGAAAGCCAACAAACCATGAAAGAGAGCAAAAGAAGAAAGGATCAGAGAAAAATCTTCTTTTTTTTTAAGATTTTATTTATTTATTTGATAGAGCTCAAGCAGGGGGAGCAGCAGGCAAAGGGAGAGGGAGAAGCAGGCTCCCCACTGAGCCGAGAGCCCAAGGTGGGGCTCAATCCCAGGACCCTGGGATCGTGACCTGAGTTGAAGGCAGAAGCTTAACCAACTGAGCCACCTGGGCACCCCAGGATCAGAGAAAATCTATAGAAACAACCACAAAACAAATAAAAAAATGGTAATACATATTTATCAATAATTACTTTGAATGTAACTGGACTAAATGCTCTAATCAAAAGACATAGGGTGTCAGAATGGATTAAAAAACCCATCTATATGCTGCCTACAAGAGACTCAAGACAAAAAGACACCTGCAGATTGAAAGTAAGCAGACAGAGAAACATTTATCATGCAAATAGATGCAAAAAAAAAAAAAAGCGGGGGTAGCCATACTTATATCTGACAAAGAAGCCTTTAAAACAAAGACTGTAACAAGAGACAAAAAAGAACACTATATAATTATAAAGGGGACAATCCAACAAGAGGATATAACAATTGTAAATATTTATGCATTCAACATGGAAGCACCCAAATACATAAAACAAACATAAAAGAAAAATTTTGTTAAGAACAAACAAAAAGAAATACTTGACAGTAATACAATAATAGTAAGAGACTTTAATACCCCACTTACACTGATAGACAGATCATCCAAACAAAAAATCAACAAGGAAACAATGGCTTTGAATAACACACTGAACCAAATGGATTTAACAGACATATTCAGAACATTCCATCCTAAAACAGCAAAATATACATTCTTTTCAAGTGCACATGGAACATATTCCAGAATAGATCACACATTAGGCCACAAAACAAGCCTCAACAAATTCAAAAAAATTGAAGTAATACCATGCATCTTTTCTGACAACACTATGAAACTAGAAATCAACCCCAATAAAAAATCTAGAAAGACCACAAATACATGAAGGTTAAATAATATGCTATTAAACAATGAATGGATCAACCAAGAAGTCAAAGAAGAAATAAAAAATTACATGGGAAACAAATGAAAATGAAAACACAATGGTCCAAAAGCTTTGAGATGCAGCAAAAGTGGTTCTAAGAGAGAAGTTTGTAGCAACATAGGCCTACCTTAAGAAATAAGGAAAATCTCAAATAAACAACCTAATCTTATACCTAAAGGAGTTGGAAAAAGAGGAATAAACAAAATCTAAACCCAGGAGCACAGCAGAAGAAAGTAAATAAAATTTAGAGCAGAAATAAATGATATAGAAACTAAAAAAAAAAGAACAAATCAAATGAAATCAGGAGCTTGTTCTTTGAAAGATCAACAAAATTAATAAACCTCTAGCAAGGAAAAAAATAAGAGAGAGGACCCAAAGAAACAAAATTAATAATGAAAGAGGAGAAATAACAACCAACACCACAGAAATATAGACAACTGTAATAGAATATTATAGAAACTTATATGCCAACAAATTGGACAACTTAAAAGAAATGGATATATTCCTAGAAACATTAACCTACCAAAACTAAAGCAGGAAGAAATAGAAAAATTTGAACAGCAAATTAGACAAGAAAAAGAAATGAGGTATCCAAAATTGGTAAGAAAGAAGTAAAACTCTCATTGTTTGCAGATGACATGATATTATATATAGAAAGCCCTCAAGGCTCCACCAAAAAACTACTAAAACTGATAAATGAATTCAGTAAAGTTGCAGGATAAAAAATCAATGTACAGAAATATGTTGCATTCCTAAACACTAATAATGAAACAGTAGAAAATGAAATTAAAACAATCCCATTTATAATTGCCTCAAAAAAATACTATATCTAGGAATAAATTTACCCAAATAGGTGAAAGACCTGTACTCTGAAAACTATGAAACACTGATGAATGAAATTCAAAATAATGCAAAGATATGGAAAAGCATTATATGATTGTGGGCTGAAAGAACAAATGTTAAAATATCTATACTACCCAAAGCAATTTACAAATTCAAGGCAATCCCTATCAAAATACCAACAGCATTTTTTTCAACAGAGCTAGAACAAACAATCCTAAAATTTGTATGGAACCACAAAAGACCTCATATAGCCAAAGCAATATTGAAAATGGAAGGAAAAAAAAAAAACTGGAGCTATCACAATTCCAAATTCCAAGTTCTATTACAAAGTGATGGTAATTAAAACAGTATGTTACTGGCATAAAAATACACACATACATCAATGGAATAGAGCAGAAAACCCAAAAATAAACCCACAATTATACAATCAACTTACCTTTGACAAAGGAGGAATGAATATCCAATGGGAAAAAGACAGTGTCTTCAACAAATGGTGCTGGGGAAACTGGACAGCAATATGCAAAAAGAAAAAAAGAAAAAAAGAAAAGGAAGGAAGGAAGGAAGGAAGGAAGTTTGGAGAGAGAGAGAGAGAGAGAAAGAAAGAAAGAAAGAAAGAAAAAAGAAAGAAAGAAAGAAAACTAGACCACTTTCTTTCACCATACACAAAAATAAACTCAAAATGGATAAAAGACCTAAATATGAGACCTAAAACCACAAAAATCCTTGAAGAGAGCACAGGCAGTAATCTCTCTGACATCAACCATAGCAACATTTTTCTAGATATATCTCCTGAGGCAAGGGAAATAAAAGCAAAAATAAACTATTGGGACTTCATCAAAATAAAACGTTTCTGCACAGCCAAGGAAAGAATCAACATGGGAGAAGATATTTGCAAATGAATATCTGATAAAGGGTTAGTATTCAAAATATATAAAGAACTGATACAACTGAACACCCAAAAAACAAAAATTCAGTTAAAAATGGGCAGAAGACATGAACAGATATTCTCCAAAGAAAACATACAGATGGCCAACAGTCACATGAAAAGATGTTCAACATTACTCATCATCAGGGAAATGAAAATCAAAACCTCAATAAGAATATCACATCACAGCTATCACAATGGCTAAAATCAAAAAACAAGTGTTAGCGAGGATGTGGGAAAAAAAGGAACTTTCTTGCACTGTTGGTGGGCATGCAAATTGATGCAGCCATTGTGGAAAACTTTTTGTAGTTAAACAAAAAATTAAAATAAACGTACAATCTAGGAATTGAACTACTGGGTATTTACCCAAAAAATACAAAAACACTAATTCAAAGGAATACAAGCACCCCTATGTTTACTGCAGCATTATTTACAATAGCCAAACCGTAAAGCACACCAAGTGTCCATCAATAGATGGATGGATAAAAAAGAGGTGAGATTATATATATATAAAACACAATGGAATATTATTCAGCCATAAAAAATGAATGAAATCTTGCCATTTGCAGTAACATGAACAGGGGCACCTGGCTGCATCAATCATTAGAACATGCAATTCTTGATCTCAGGTTCATGAGTTTGAGCCCCATGTTGGTCCCAGAGCTTACTTCAAAAAAAAAAAGAAAAGATAAAGAAAGATTAATGCAATAATACGAGAAAAGCTAGAGAGTATAATGCTGAGTGAAATAAGTCAGCCAGAAAAAGACAAATATCGTATTAACTCACTCATATCTGGAATTTAAGAAACAAATGACCAAAGGGGGGAAAAAGAGAGAGAGACAAACCAAGAAATAGACCCTTAA